TGACCTCGTGATCCGCCCGTCTCGGCCTCCCAAAGTGCTGGGATTACAGGCTTGAGCCACCGCGCCCGGCCTAGAAGGATATCTTTTATCTAACATTGTACAAAAGGGCACAAGCCACATAGTCCCAGGCAGTCAAAACTAGATCAAACCTTTACTAGAGAACAAAGGGAAGGTGAGGTGGCAAGGGACTAAGGATGGAGAAAGGAAATTCCTTGAGAAATTCCAGCCCCAGTCATGAGAAAGCGGGTGCGCTTACCCCCTGGCTGAGCAGGAAAGACTGACAGAAACACTGGGCGCAGGAGCTCAGCCAAGTCCCTCCTCAATGCCCCGGATCCTCCGGGCCAGTTGCACATCCTTTGGGAAGAGAGTAACTCGGCCGGCATGTAAGGTGAGGAGATAGGCATCTTCAAAGAGATGAACTAGAAATGCTTCTGCTGCCTGGAGACAGAAAGAGAAAAAAAGATGGACATAGATGAAGGGGCATAGGCTGCTTTTTCTTGCAGACCCGCTAAACTTAATCTCTGAGGGCACAAAGGACTGTAGGAAACTGTTCACAGGATGAGACCGAACTTTGCCAGGGAATTCTGCTATCACCACACAGAATCCAGCCTCCAAACCCTCAGGGGTTACCTTGTTGTTCTTTTCCAGGAGGTCAGATTCAGCATGTGACACTCCAGTCAGCCTTGGAGAATTCTAGGCTGCCTCTTTCTCCCACTCAGCCCTCACCCAATTGTGCCTTGGTGCCTTCTTACCTCTTGTAGGGCCAATAGGGCCTGGGCTTGCCAATTGAAGTCCACACCACGAGTGAATTTAACACATATTTCTCTTGCCTGTGAAGGAGTGGGGATGGGGAGGAGTAGGAGTAGGGAGTAACAGAAGAGAGATTCAAGGGACAATGATGCTCTCCATGAGTTCCAGTGAATCCCCCTTTCCATTATGTTTTCCTGGCCCTTAATCTTAGGACCCAATTAGGAGCAGGTGTTGACTCCTGGGAGCTTAGGAACTGGCGGATCTCTTACTGGTGATGGGGAAATCACCAGTAACTGGGTGATGGGAAGCAATCTCCCAGGATAGGAAAAGGGATCCAAGGGTGGACAAATGAGAGAGTTCCTATTTATATAGTCAAAAACTACAGTTTTAAAAAGGTAGTAGGGGTTAGAAATCAATTCCATAAAGAAGTACAAGGTGCTCTTGGAGGGCTCATGTTTTCAGAAAAGATTCCCCTACCAGGTTACAGAAGAGATCCCTTGGTCATTTAGGTAAGAGACAGTAGGGTCCCTAATATCTGGGAAAATTTTAAAAAGGAGGGTGGTATAGGGGTTGGTGGGAAGCTCCCAGAGCTCACCAGGCGGCTGAAGGGGTACTTCCTTATCAAGAGGTGTGTGCTCTTCTGAAGCTTTCGGATCTCCTTTAGCCAAGCTTGTCTCCGCCGACCAGGTTGACGGGAGGAAGGGCCTGAGCAAAAGAAAGGTAAGTTCAGTGGAAAATAGGTGATGCCTCGCAGCTTGGCTGAGTCAGGTAAGCTGTCAAATCACTAAACTATATCTATGTGTCTACACTCCACAGAGCAGGGATTTTTGTCTTTTTATTAGGTTGGTGCAAAAGTCATTGCAGTTATGGCAAAAACCACAATTACTTTTGCATCAACCTGATATATAGTTATTTTGCTGCTATCTTCAGCAACTAGAAAACGGCAAATAGGTGCTAAATAAATATTTTGTTAAATGAATGAGTGAATGATCCTCTGCATTTGATTTTAAATGCTAATTCTTCCATGAAGCCTTTCCTGAATCCTGATCCCTTCCAAACAGATGGGTGACCGTCCTCCTCTGGGCTTTGCAGGACTTTGTACAAGTCTTAGATCTTTCTCACCTAGATTGGAAGCTCAATTATTTTGTTTTTAGATTTCTTATTTGTTTTTTACAGCTGGAAAGAATCTGAGGGACTAGTACAATTCTCTTGTCTTGATTATCCTGAGGCCCAGCGAGGTGAAGACAGTTGGTCAGCCCTCATTAGTGGCCAAGCTGAGACCTATGTAAGGAATGGCCTAACTCAGTGCCAGTGTCAGGCACCTGGGCTGTGGAGTCAGAGTCTTTGGCTCAAATCCTGGTTCCAACAAGAACAAAAAAGAAAATAACCTTAAAAATATTCCCAAAAATAGAAATCAAAAAAGTCAAATTCTCTAATTGGAAATTAAAAACCCATGAATATAAAAACCAGTTTCTTCTAACTAACCCTGTGTTGAAGAGGAAACTTAATTGAAATTAGACTATTTAGAAATGAATAACAATAAAAAGCCCATACCCTAAAACCTATGAGATACAGCCAAAATAGTACTAGAGGAAAATGCATAGCCTTAAAGTGTACCTATTAGAAAACAAGAACATTAAAAGATATCTGAGCTAAGCATTCAAATTAAGTATTAGAGAGTTATTAAAGTAAACCACAACAAGATAGAACAAAAGAAATATTAGATAATAAGTTAGTGAAAATGAAAGTTAAAGAAAAAACAGCACAGTTGCTCCATAATTACAACCAAGGACCAAGATGAGTGAACCTCCGATAAGTTGAACAAACAAACAAAATACAAAAATAACATTTTGAAGGATAAAATTGTTTCAGAAATGTTATTCAAGATCCAGCCAAGGAAAGAGACTCTACACCAAGTTCAACAGAAGGCATTTAATACAATAAACTAATCACAAAGTGTTAGAAGAGCTGCAAGAGCAAGTGGGGAAGGTGAGACAATCCAGAGACGGCCTGTGCCAGGCAGCCGGCAGAGAAGATCATCCCTGGGTGAGGCTAGGGAACATAAGCCAATGAAACAGGGCAGTGTCCAGGAGACTGGTGACATTTAAAAGAGGGAGGACCCATACCCAGGAGACAAGCTACTGACACCTCCCTCCCTCCTCACCACCAGTTGGCAATCCAGTCACTGGAGGCAGTCTTTAATAAACAGACATAGGGCTGGGTGCGGTGGCTCATGCCTGTAATCCAGCACTTTGGAAGGCTGAGGTGGGTGAATCACCTGAGGTCAGGAGTTCGAGACCAGCCTGACTAACATGGAGAAACCCATCTCTACTAAAAATACAAAAATTAGCTGGGCGGGGTGGCGGGCACCTGTAATCCCAGCTACTTGGAAGGCTGAGGCAGGAGAATCGCTTGAACCCAGGAGGTGGAGGCTGCAGTGGGCTGAGCTTACATCGTTGTACTCCAGCCTGGGCGACAAGAGCAAGACTCCGTCACAAACAAAAATAAATAAATAAAATAAAAAAATAAACAAGACATAGCATTCACAGAAAATGTGAAGATGAACACAACTAAAGATCACCCAACAATTTAAGAAGGCCAATACCATGAAAGAAAGGAACCAAACTCAACAAACAAAATAACCAATACCAGACGAAATTGAGTTAATAGAGAAAAGAGATAGAAACCTTGAGAGAAAAATGGATAATAATCTCAGAGAGGTAACAGAGATATGAAATCCATGAACCAAGGACAAGTGGTTCTGAAAAATAACCAATTAGAGAGATCATGGAAAAGAACTGGGATCAAAAATTTAGTAGTTGGGTCTTGAAATGCCAACATGAAGAGATGGAATTTAATCCTAACATAAGAAGAAGCCAGGGAAGAGTTTTAAGCAGAATAGAGATGTTGAAGGTCACTCCAGCTGCTGTGTAAGGAAAGAAGTGGAAAGGGACAGAGTGGAAGTGGATTAGCAGCTGATTAGGGGGCTCTCACAGTTGCTCTTGAGAGACGCTGGTGGCTTGGACTAGGGTAGTGGGAGCAGAGATGGTGAAAATGGAGTGATTAAGGAGCAGTTTGGAAGTAGAATTATCTGGACCTGCATTTGTATTGGAGATGGTGGTCTCCCAGGCTTGTGGTTTCAACAACTGGGTGGGTAGTTGTGCCATTTACTGAAATGGGCAAACTGAGGATGAAGGGGCTGGAGGGGAGTAACCAGAAGTTCAGTTCTGGGTGTGTTAAGTTTAACAAAACCACGAGCCTTCAGATAGAAAGGCAGTTAGATATAGGTATCTGGGGTTAGAGGAGAGATCCAGGTATACATAAATTTGAGAGCTGTCAATGTAAATCTCGGTGGGATTTAGAGCCACTGAGGAGATGAGACCACCTAGGGAGGGGGTAGAAAGGAAAAGAATGTCAAGGAAGTCCAACATCAAGGAGCGGAGGGAGGCAGCACAAGCAGTAAAGAACACTAAGCAGAACTGCCAGAGTGCACAGTGGCATGGAAGCCAAGGGAACAGAACGCTTCAAGGAGAAAGAGGCCCACTGCGTCAAATGCTTCTGAGACACAGTAAGAACACAGACCCGCCTACTGGATTTGGCACTACAAAAGGTGCTGGTGACCCTGACAGGAGTAGTTCAAGCAAATTAGAAGTGGGATACTGGTTGTGGGGAGTCAGATTGGAGTGGGTTGTAGGGTCACTAGGAAGTGAGGAATCAGACGCAATGTATGTGGACCTAACAAGTCTGGCTATTTTAAAAGGAGAGCTATGAAGGGAAATAGAGAGAAATGGGACGTATAGGGAAGTGAGAATGTGGGGTCAAGGAAACACCCCTGCCCTTTCTCTTAAGATCATAAATATGGTTGGGAGCGGTGGCTCACACCTGTAATCCCAGCACTCTGGGAGGCCAAAGCAGGCGGATCACTTGAGGTTGGCAGTTGGAGACCAGCCTGACCAACATGGTGAAACCCCATCTCTACTAAAAATACAAAATTAGCCAGATGTGGTGGCGCATGCCTGTAATTCTAGCTACTCGGAAGGCTGAGGCAGGAGAATCACTTGAACCCAAGATGTGGAGGTTGCGGTAAGCCGAG